TGTGTTTGTGTATGTGTTTGTGTGTCTTTATTTTGTTTTTCTTTTTCTTTTCTTTAACAAAAAAATCTAATTTTAATGAGCGAGGACTTCACATTCCTTGGCATGAATGTTACCGTAAAATGTGGGCAACGGTTGGTGGGAATGAGTACAAGCTGGGGATTGTTGTCCACGGCTGATTGGAGCAGGAAGTAATGTGAACATAAGTGTGGAATTATATGACCCCCCCCCCCACTTCTGGATAGGCCCCTACATCAATATCGACAGTGGCATCACAGTTCACCCACACCCATCTCCACATGATGGGGGCGGGCAGGATGCTTGCTATATGTGCACCAATGAGTACCTGTCAGTCCTCACATGGTGGGATTCCTCATTCAGGTACAAAATAGATTGACTTTGAAAACACTGTGTTGGTAAAATAAGCCAGGTAGAAAGGGACAAGCATTAACTGACTCCATCATTTGCCTTATCTGGAATGAACAAATTTATAAAGACAGACAGTAGAAGAATGCTTGTCTCACCGGGGTGGACCACAGTGTGGGGTACAGGATGTGCAGAGCTTCTATTTGGGGTAACTCCTTTCTAGAAATTACAGTGGTAATGGCTACCTCAGATTATTGAGGTATTTAATACCATGGAGCTCTGTCTTTAAAAATGGTCAAAATAGAAAAAAACAAAAAAAAGTTATTTTAGTCTAATTCTAATGATATGCAAAAATATGAAATTATCACTTGCATAAACACAAATAACATTTAGTAATAAGACTGCAGCCCGAACAAGTGACTTTTTCTTCATGCAAAATTGGACAAAAGAACCCCAGGAGAGTTTATGTGACTAAACTACATGGTAATATACACCATACTTAAGCAATTACAAATTGTATTTTTTTTTTTTGTATTTTCCTGGCTTCTGAGTGACAAACCTGCTTAACAGCAGTTCCTGTTTGCTAGGATACATTGACTCTATCACGGTTTTGTACCGTCAGTGGGAATGCCATTGTTGCTATTAACTAGCTAGATTAAAAAGAACATGAGTCATTTCTCTGTATCCCATAAATTTGCTGCTGGGAGTAATGAGAGTGAAATCTGAGAATTCAGGATGGGGCCAGCTCTGCTCTGACAGCCAAGGTGTGAGGGTGCTGCTGTCTGTAGATCTCACCTTTCAGCAGTTCTAGAGTGCACTCAGGAGCCAGGCATGAAGAGGGCAGTGAGCTACATGCCTAGAACTCCATTGACTCCTGCAGAGCCTTGCTGTGAGCCACCTTGTAACAGTGAGGCAAATCACAAACAGAATGACTGAGGAGTTGTTATTAATATAATCTTTATTCTTGTTAATAAGCAGCATAGCACTTACAAGGGTGCTGAACCCTGCCATAAAAAAATGCCTGTAACAACTGCGGCTACTTATGCTTGACAGCTCAGCTCACTGGATAAGGAACTTGTCTCAGTATAATCCAGCCAGTCACTGGTAGAGCCTGGGCCTGTGACACATTTGTGTCACACCAGGGCCCAGATTTTTAATCATACCCACAGTCACCCATTGGCCTACAAAAGTAAGACCAGGAAATACCCTGGTTAGTTTTTATATTGACACAAACTAGAGAGTCAACTGGGAAGAGAAAAACTCAGCTGAGAAATTGCTTAGACATTGTTGGCCTGTGAGCGTGTCTGTGGGGGATTGTCTTGGTTGCTAATTGATTAGGGAGGGCTCTGCCCACTGTGGGAGGTACCATTCCCTGGGAAGGTGATTCTGGGCTGTAGAAGAAAGCTGACTAAGCACAAGCCCAGTAGCAAGCCTGTCCACAGCATGCCATCAGGGTTTCTGTTCAGTTCCTGCTTGAGTTGCTGCCCTGACTTCCTTGAGGAGGGACTATGAACTGGAGGTGAAGCTAAATCAAATGCTTCCTTCTCCAACTTGCTTTTGGTCATTGTCACAGCAACAGTTACCAAACTAAAACACCAGCTATGGTGTGATTCTTTTAGCTTTTCTCAGATATCTTGGTGCTATATCCTGCTCTCTTTCTCCAAATGAATGGCCATCAGTCACAACAGGTAGGCAGTGGGGAGTGGGTTCCTACATGCAGGCTAGGAGCCAGCCTCTCACCTGGCACTCAACCCTTTCTGGATTCACAATCACTATTAGATTGACCAGATTCTTCCAAACCTAATCACAGTGCTCTTTCATTTTTCCATGATTTGAACTATTGTTGCTGTTCCTTTCATCTTAAGTCAAAGAACAAACAGAGGGGTTTATATTCCCACGTTCAGAGATGCCATCTGGTAAACACACTACTGATGCTTTGTTTCTTTCATGTTGTGTCATACTTTGAAATGTAGTTATGTTTCAGGTTGGGTGGCTGCCTCTTTTCTGACAGATCTTTTGCTCTACTGAATCGGGGGTGGGAATATCCCTGTAGGGTCTTTATTCCTATATCCTTTCATTGTTTCTCTATATATTTTTTTCTTTCCTTGTTACTGTTCATATGCTTTTAGCCAGTCTGTCCATCTATGCTGATACATCCCTTTTGATAACATCCATTCAAGGTCAGAAAAGCTAGTATAGAGGACCAAGCAAAAGCAAAGAAAAGGCACAAGAAAAAACAACATTTCACGTTTTCAATTTTTCATGTCTATTGGGATAAAAATATACAAGGTCAAGATGGGCCTTTAATCCCAGGAATTGCCCATCCCCCCTGAAAAAAAAGAAGGTGCAAGGTCAGAGTTTGGGTTCTTGAGCTGTGTTTCAGAATTCTTTAAGGTGCTTGTCTGTGTTGTCTTTAAAGAACAAGTAACAACTAAAATGGGCCCTGTTCTCTTGAGGGAAGGAGGCTAGTCCTTTAAGTCCCTGGGGTAATGGGTAGCCACAGCATCCTAGAAATCATATATAAAAAAAGTAAGAAAAAAGAAAGAAATTTCACTGTCAGAACAGTTCAGACTTTCATGCTTTACCCCATTAATTTATTATAGTTGTGTAAATGCATGAATGTTAAAATGCTCTAACAGGAATAGGGATTTCTAGTCCCTGGAGGGAAAACAGTGGTGTGCCACTAGAGAGACCCCTGTGTCTTATTGGACACATCCTCCAGCTACATAATAAGGGAGCCAGGCTTGACAATCTCCATGACTTGGTGATATTTGGACTGTGAAAAACTCAATATTCAGGTCTCTCCACTATTCCCATGATGATGTCTAAAAAGTTTTAAAGAAGACTATAGATAGAATGGGTGGCTGATCCGAAGGCAATCTTTGCCATTTATTTATTCCAGCATGGACTATATTCAGGTGTGTGTGTGTGTGTGTGTGTGTGTGTGTGTGTGTGTGTGTGTGTGTGAGAGAGAGAGAGAGAGAGAGAGAGAACCATTGACCCCTGGACAATAGTCTGTGTGAGGAGGATATGACAGTGGATTTCCTGGCATTGTAACTGTATCTTCAGACAATAAAGAAGCTTCGGAAGTTATTGATTCTTATTGTAAAAACAAATCAATACTGTTCCTCTTTCAGACTATGTTTTAAAAGAATTGGCTTTCTTGTGAAATGATATAATGTCAATCTTTAAGAGCAGATAGATACTCTTGGGCCAGTGAGATGGCTAAGTGTGTAAAGATGCTTGCTATTAAGGCTGGTGACTTATGTTTGATCCCTGGAACCCAAATAATGGTGGGGGGAGAACAAAATGGCACATGTCCTTTGAACCTTACATATGACCCTTGGTATGTGTGCACCCACACCCACACGTAAAAATTAATTAATATAATAAAATATGTATTTAAAGCAGAGCAAGCTTTCTTTGTATAGACTGAAAATTAATATAAGGCTTTATGTCTAAAAAGAGAGAGTCTTTGAGAGGTATGTATACATTTATACTTATACACATAATAACCAAAGGGTAGAAACAAACCAAAAGTCTACAGATAAACAAAGCTAATAGTAGGATGTTATTCAGCCTTTCTAAAGGAAGTAAGTCTTGTTACATGCTCTGAGGTGGATAGATTTATAAAATCACTAGAAGACAGTTTATAATTTATGATTCCTTCTCTCAGGTATCAGAAGTAGTGAAATTCATAAAACACATGAGGATCTCACAAGTCCAAGTATAGAATCAAGAGTCTATAAAATATTTTTATGGGAAAGTCTCCCTTTAAGAAAACATAATTGTATCTCGAAAGACTAAATTTACCAGATTAACTAGTTATGGCATAATGTGACTTTTATTCATGTATTTCTGTGAATTTTCTACACACAAACAGGACTTTTTCATCCTGCTCTTGCTGGTGTCTAATGTATATAGAAATCTAGGCAGAATTACATTTTTAAGATATGCTTTTGCAATGCCCCTGCTGCCAGGCATTGATGCAAAAGAAATAAGTAATGTACCACTCAATAATTGAATTTAAAAAGGATATATGAATATACCCCCTTTGGAACCTTAAGTAACAATTGTTACTTAATTGTTTTGGTTTGTATCAGTGATGACTTTGGAATACTATCAAGATCCTCCTCTCCCCTCCATTCCCTGTGCCCTATCTTGTCATCCCCTTCTTTTTC